GTCAGCAAAATTTGCAGCATCAACCAAAGAAACCAATAAAAATGTCAGACAATCAAGAAGGGAATTAAAAACAAAATAGAAAACATCATTGTGCCATTATACAAATACAGAGTGCACCCACATTTTGAGTAGTATGTGCAGTTCTGCTATGTCTAAAAGGATGTAGTAGAATTGTAAAAGGTACAAAAAAGGGCAACCAAAATTGATAAGGGGTATGGAACAGTTGCTAGGACTAAAAAAGATAGGACTCTCTAGTTTGGATAGAAGGCAGCTAAGGAGGAAGATGTGATAGAAATATAAATCACAAATGGTGTGGACCAAGTGAAAAGGGAACTGTTATTCACCAAGTCCCAGAATACTAGAAATAGGGGGCCCCCACTGAAATTAGGAGACAGATTCACAATTAACAAGAGAAAGATTTTTTTATGCCATGGGTCATTAACTTGTGGAATTAAATGCCACAGGAGGTGGTAGAGGCAGATAGCGTAGCCAGGTTCAAAAAGGGACAAGACAGATTCATGGATGACAGATCATGGATAATAGCTGTTAAACATAACGGTCACAGATGTTTCCCCTGGTATCTCTAAGCCAATAGTGATGGATGCCAGGGATCACAATTAATAGAAGTTAGATCATTCTAGGTATATCTGGTTCAATTCTCTCCTTCTAGAGCATCCACACCTGCCATTATCTGAGACTAGATACTGAGCTAGATGAACCACTGGTCTGGCCCAGTATGGCACTTCTGTTTTGCCTTAATCAATTTTGCCCTGATATAGCCACTTTGTAACACTACAATCTATACCTCAAAGTGATACATAGATATTTGTGATTTTCCTTCCAGAAATATTAATCATAGAAGAAATATTAATCATCACCTTATAATGAGTATCTAGTTTCTTTTCTCTGCTTCACAGGTGACTGTTTAAACAGTAGTGATTTGGGGTTCAAGATCAGCCCATTTTGCACCATGTACACATCTAAGGAGTAACTGTAGGTTCCATTTTCATTTTTTTCTGGTCCAAGCTGCTTGCAGCTGAGCATTAATGAGATGATTATTGCATACTGTTCCTTTAGCCTTTACTTTCAGTGGCTACGAAGGAAAGGCATAAAGGAGGTTGCATAATCTACTTCTGAGATAAATGAAAGGCTGTGGTCTCCTCCTTAAGTCTTGCCTTCTTTTGTAACACCTCTTACAGTTATTTATCGCAGGGGGAGGGGGGAATATATATCACTTAAGTCTAACTTGCCAGACTCCTTGTATTATTAAAGGGAGCTTCGATGTGGATTGCTCAACCATTTCAGCAAAGATGCTACCTAAGAGTAGAGTATCTCAGGGGCTGCTCAGCCATCTTGGTATGGACCTTGCTTCCACACCTGCTGAGTGGGTTTCACTATAGCCTACTATCTGTCATTTCTAAGGGGAAAGAAGTTTTGTCTTTTACATTCTTTTCAGAAAGCCAAAAAATATTTAGCTTAGCAGTTCTAAGGAGAAAAACTTCACACACAAAAATCATGCAGTAAAAAATAAAAATCTTGTGAAAACTTTGCTACAAAAAGGTAAGCCTTGAGTCTCCTGTATATGTTGCTTAGAGGCCAAAGATCCTGGAGAGTTCTTAAGAGGCAGTCCTAATGCCAGGCTCAGAGCAAAGATTTTGCCTTCCCCCAGTTGCCAGGGAGATTTGGAACACTACTGAAGAAAATGACTATTAAGGCTTGGAGGGATCTTTTGTCTGAGGCTGTCACTGAAGCCTCTCAGGTTCAAAGAGTTTGAAAGCAAGCCTTCCTCACTTTGGTTTCTTGGACAAGAAATGAAAGATCAAGACATGTCTGGGATGTGCCATTGCTCTGGTACAATAAGCAACAAGAGTGCCCACCACTGGCAAGGATAGCCTCCTCAGAAAAGACAAAAAGTTTTAAAGCCTAGGGGCTGATTAAATCATAGCAGTCTGGGTCAAGATTGTGGACATTTTCCCTAAATCCTATTTCTCCCTATAGGCACAATGCAACCTCTAATAAGCATACTAAGCAGCCCAACACAATGGAAGAGAGTGCACAGTAATCAGAAAACAGGTGTACCCTTGCAGCCCTCAACAGCACACTAAAATTCATTAAGCGGCCCTCCAGTCTGCCCCCTTCCTCCCCAACTTAGCCCCTCTCAGTATCTGAAAAGACTGAAAAAATTTTAAAAGTGATCACAGGTGAAGTGTGAAATTGACTTTCATAACAGAAATGGAAGAAAATTATTTTTGCCAACATTCTACAAGTGGAGTACAAGTCATGCTTAAGAAGTTAGTCTATCCAAAACTCTTACTGTTGGTAATTTGTTAATGTGGAATGGATCTTTAAAACTTCATACCTATTACTTAGCACTGTCTTGCATACATGTGAAAATTTTGCTTCTAGATATTAAAATCCCTACCTGTTGCTTCTGGAGACTATATATTAGCAAATTTTTTAAAAGTAATTAACCAGTCATGATTTAAATACATGATGTGGATTGCTCTGAAACGCTAAAAACATCTCTTATCTTATCTCTTATCTAAAACTAGGGGCAGGGCATAGATCTCTTATCTGAAAAGTCTAAAAAATAAACATCTGTCAAAGAAGAAGATAAAAGGTGTCACCCCAAATAATAATTTTGAATAAATTCTTTGCCTATTCTATTAATATTATGTGGAGAAGACATGTAAAGCAAGTCAGTTTGTACATACTCTGGATCATACAGGTGCATCCCATTGATATAAAAGTAGATTACTTACACTAGAATACTCTAAGAGAGTTTAGAGACCAAAACAGTGGCAGATGTTCATATAGTGCAGTGATTCCTTAAACAGGGTCCTATGGTACTCTGGGGTGCCGTCAGATCCTTTGAACAGTGCCACAAGATGTGAGGAGATAAGTACATAAGTAGAGGCTTAGACTTGTCCCTGCCTAGCCAATCCCTCACCTCCACTGCCTGATCCCTTTGCAAAGCAAGCAAGTACAGTATTATAGGAGTTAGCTTTTAAATTGGGTGCCACTTAATTCACAAAAGGTATGGAAGGATGTCTCGAGACCAATAAGATTGAGAACCACTGATACAGTGTAGCTCAGTGGTAGGCAATTACTTGGGCCCCAAGGGCCATCTAGGGAGTTTGGTGAGCTGTTGTGGGCTGGGTCAACACCCCCCTGCCACACAACAGCTCACTAACATTTGCTAAGTGACCCTGCCCTGGGGCCCGGCCCTGCACTGTTACCAACTGGCAATCCCAGGGTCTCCATGGAGACCATCCCAGGACCCATGTGGGCAGGATGCGCTAAGCCAGGTGGATGGGATGGGACCATGGAGAGCAACATCCAGGAGTGGGACAGGCAAGCAGGGCCAGGATCACAGAGCAGTGACACTGCAGGATCAGGAAGAGCCACGATCGACTGCCTGCATATCCTTGTGATGGGCACTGGTTCCACAGGCAGGGGTGTGCCAAGACTGGATCGTGGTTCTACCCCAGGCCCTGCTCCCGCGCCATTACTACCCTGCAATCCCAGTCCCAGCCCTGGTCCCGCCCACCAATCTCACACCCAGACACCACTCCCCTCCCATCTGTGGCCCCATCCCATCCGCCCAGTCAATTGTACACTGCCTACGCAGGTCCTCAGCCAGTCTCTTTGGAGACCCTGCCCACCTGCTCCATTGGGCAGCCCCAGTGGTGGATGCAAAACACAGGGGCCAAGGTACTCAGGCAGTGGAGTCCAGAAGCCACACTGCCCTGCCCCACTGCATGCCTGGAGTGGTGGGACCAGCCGCACATGCCACAGCTCAGGCTGCCTCCCACACCTGGGTCACGGTGGGACCAAGGGACCAATCATGGGCCAGATAGATACGGCCCATGGGCCATATTTTTCCCAAAACATTATAGATACACTAAATACCGTATTTGCTCATATACAATATGCCCTGGAGTAAGATGCACAATTTACTTAAGAATGGCAGAATGAAGAAAAGATCTTTCCTTGTAGTAAGTAACTGAGTAGCAGCAGCTAGGTATTTGAGCATGATGTTCACTGATCAGCTCCTATCAACCACACGTAGACCTGACTTTCACTTTTGCCCAGCTGAAGCTTAAGTGGCAAACACTGCTGTCACTATATTTCCTTGCATATAATACACAAGCTTCTCACAGCTGTTTTTTTTCTTTTGGGGTAGGGGAAGAAGGGGAGTGCGTATGATATAGTAGATTCAGTTTCTTGTAGAGAAGCTTCCTTTCCACTGAAGCCAACTTCAACTAGAATCTTTCCAAGAAAAAAAAAAACTTTAGTGCATAGAACTATTACCACTCTCAAGCAAATGCTAGAAGAACTCAAAGTGTTTGCATTTGTTTCTACATTCAGCTTGCCCAAAATCTAAGCTTTTCATATGTTAGTCAATTTTAAAATATGCTGCATTTATTACATCAGAGCAAATGAAGTTTTAAGCAGAAAAACATTACACAATTCTAAACAATGCTTACAAATCTAAACAATTCTATAGGTGAAAATTATCATGAACAAATATTATTAAACTTATAGTAATAGTCTATAACAGCAATTCTCAACCTTTTTAGACACAAAGCACCCCACAAGACTCAAGACACCGCTTGGTAGATTTGAGGCATCCCTCAGAAAATGCCAGCTATTAGTTTTCTTTTCTTGACTACAGAAAAATAGAACAACTGTTCTATTGCAAAAAACTCCAGAAGATGACAAGTCAGAATGTTTTTTTCACATGGGAATCTATAGTGTTAACTCTAAATTTTATCTTGTGAATCATGTTTGCACACCTAATAGTGCTGACGTTGTGCAGGACTCCATAACACCCCTGAAAGGATCTCTAAGCACTGTAGGGTGCCATAACACCCTGGGCTGAGAATCACTGGTCTATAACTGTTGCAACAGTATAAAGTCAGATAGGAACTGTAAGGATCAGTAATACTACACTGTGCCAAAAATATCAAAGGAGTTCAACTCCAGATTTTACTTACCATTTTCACTATGTCAGCATATGCTGATTCAACAAGCACTCCACGATTTGTTGAAACATATTCAACCAGTTCATTCAGTGTTGCTCTTTTAATTTCTTTGCTCTTCAAGTCTGAAACAGAGTCTATGAAATCAAACAGTATGCAACACTGCTGCAACTTCTGACAAAAAAGTTCTTGCTGCTCATTTGAGGTGGCATCTGTGAACAGAGAAAAACAAACAAACATGTTTTTAGAAGAAATGAAGCGTGAATGTTTAAATCTCTAATTATTAGCTGTAACCCACACAACATACCTGCCTGCATTTTTAATACAGGATACAAGTCAGATGGCAAGCAAAACACACATTCAGTGCTGTTACAACTGTAAACATAATTAAATGTTCCACTAATATGCAGTGAAAACCTCAGTTTTTACATCTTATCCACAGTGTTCAAGGAATTTTAAAAAGAGTGATATGGTAACATAAATAGGGAACATAGGAAAAATTACACTTTATATATACATACATCCCCCACCACATATAAAAGCTATATAGCACTAATCATTCAATTAATGTATTTGTTGTACTGTATCCACCAATTTTATTACAGCAGTGTCAAAGATACAGCTTCAGGGCTCCTGGAGGGGTGGGAATTTGGTGGTAGGCCCATGACCAACTTCTCAACTACAAAGACTCACTGGAGCTGCATGTCTGCCCGGAGGGGACAAAAATGGGGGGTGAGCGGTGGGGCAGGGAGGGAGCAACAACTGTATTAATTCCCTCTGTCACCACTCGCCCCACAAGAAGTGGGTCTAATTCCAGCCCAGAAGAGCCTCTATGATCCTGATATGACCTGGGGAGCTACACTACTGACACGCTTGCTTTATTATATTGTTTATTTAAAAACTGCAAAATCTGCAGGGCTGGAATTCTATCTTTAGCTTCCTCCCCATTTATAAAGCATTTAACTCATTTTTTTACATCAAATAATGAAAATACCATGGAAGAACTTCCCCAATATCACAAAGAAAAAAATCTGTATCCTATATTTTCATATTTTAGACTAGATAATCTAATGAATTAATATCCTTAAGCCTTAAAGGTTTCTAGATATTTTGTTCAGTTAAAACCACACATTGTCTTGTAATTTTCATTAAAAAAAGAAAAGGGTAAAAAATCAGATCTTGTCAACTCTGTCAGCTTGCTATTGAGCAAAACATTCCTCCACTAGTATTGTATTTTTCTTGATAGCATAGTGATTAGTAGTAAGATAACAATTACTAAACCTATTAATCTTATTGCAAAATATTTGCTCAAAATATAACCCTGTAACTTTGGCATATAGCCACAAGGAGAAAGAGCCATAACTGATTAATCTAACTTCAAAACTGTATTCAACAGGGGGGGGAAAACAAAACAAAATCAAAGAACTAAGATTTCCCTCATCTCACCAATTTTTTTTTGCATCCTAGGAACACTATAATGGCCAACCCTTTAAAATAATCAGTTAGCTGGGATCTCATCTACAGAAATTTTTACTCTCAGTTCTCTCTGGGAGTACAGGCAGCCTTCCCCCATTGAGAAGCTTTAGAAATTACTACAGCTACCCTGTATTACTCTGATTATCTAGTCATTTTGCTTGAACCAAGAACAGTAGAACCATGACACTTCATAGGGTTATGAGAGCCTGTGAACTAGCATGGGATATATACAGCTGCAGCAAACAGCTGTGCAAGACCACTGAATTGCTATAGCTGATTGCTGAAACATCTGTTGCAATGGCACAGCTTCTCCAATCAAATGCACAAGAGGACTGACAGAAGGAACATCAGACGAATGGCAATGTGGCGAAAATCAAAACCACAACATTTAGCCATACCATCCTTTGCCTGAAAACACGCTGTGAATTAGGAACCCAATATGAATATCACTTCTGGATCTCAGTTGTGAGGCATTTTGCTGCAGTTGTTGGTGCAACCAACTTCCAGGGGTTTAATGCAACCACTCCCCACCCCACTGCCAACTGGCATCAATTTTAATTGACAACAGCTACCAAAAAACAGAAGTTCAGTGGCACATAAAGCGGTGAGTAACACCAGCAGTGTTAATCTCCTGGGTTAACCTGCACAGATGCTAGATTTGGCAGTGGGTCACCCAACCTGCAAGAAGCTCCACAGGCCAGATGACCCACTTCCACAGGCTAGATCCGGTCTCCAGGCTGTATGTTTTACATCCCTGCATTAGACAATTAGCAAGGAAGCAAGAGGAAAAGAGAGTGCTCTCTCCTGAAAGATATACAGAATTCTAATTCTTACGAGTCATGGCTTGAGGCATGCAGATAGCTTCCCTTGCTCTTAAATGTTTTGGCTGTCTGTAGCTAGGCTACTTGAAGAAATTTGCTCCAAGTCTATTGTAACCTGATATCACAAAAGCTCTATAAAATTTCAGTAGTCCCATTTTGAACAACAGGAATTAAGCATTCTGAAATAAATAATAAAAATATTACCTGTTCCCCAAAGATAGTGTTGGTGGGCAACTCATTTTTGAAGAGAAAGTATGAACATCCCAATAATATAAAAACTACAAACAGAATGAACATAGCTGAATTCAATAAAGGACAACAGATTTTTTTTTCTCTTCCTCACTGTAAAAAGTCATCCCAAGAAGTGTTTTATAATCCATAAGAAAACACTGAACTAGGATTCCTTTCTACTAGATAAGCCTGTGTGTGCATTTTCCATCAAAGCCCTCTATGGCCACAGGAGCTCTCCTTAAGATTAGTTCCAGACTCAGCTATATATAAGGCTCCTAAACATCCTCAGAAGTGGTCCTCTGCTGACAGTACTTCTACAGAGTAAAAACTCAAAAAACCTGAGCAGCGCTTTTGCAGTTTGTACCTTGTTTTACCCAGAACCCACTGCAGTTTTCTCACTGTGAATTCTTGGAGAAGTTTACCCCTTGCGATTGGTATGCAGAAAAATACTAGTAAACATTTTTTCAGCCCATCTCATCACTTCCATCCCCAACCCCAACTCCAAGACCAAGACCAAGAGAAGGGGCTGAAAAGGCAGGTGGGCTCCAGGGACCAGCATGCAAATCCAGAGGAACTGCCTTGATAGCAGGGGCTGTACTTGCCCCTCAGGCACAGACCGGGGTTGGGGAGGCGACAGACAGTAGAAAGAGTGGGACACAGGGGCCCTCACCTGGCACCATCTAGGATCTTAGCATCTCAGCAATTATCAACTGGAATGCTGTTAAAAATCAGGAAATTTTGGAAAGGGCCGTAAGGCTAAAAAGGTTGAGACCTGCTGATCTAGTAAATAAATAAAAGCATTGAATTCATCCTTTTTAATATAAATGTACAAATGAAGAATGAGATCAAGTCTACATAATTCCTTAAATATATACACATCTTCCTGATTAGCAAAAATATTAAATTAATTGTGAAAGCTAGATTTAGTTAAAAGTCAACACGTTCTATTGTTTTCCAACCCACACACATTAGTCTTGTTTTAGGAAAATAAAAATAAGAATAAAAAAAAGATTAAAATCTATCTTTTGTGTATCAACCTTCTTTTGAAATACTGGGAGAAAACTATTATTTGGAAAATCATTGTCCAACTACAAATATCAAACTACAGAACTATAATTTAGAGACTCTAATGCCAAACAGCTGTACTTCAAATTATCACATGTCCACTGAGCCACATGTTCTACATTGTTTCTGCAGCGGTTTCTTTCCCTCTTTTAAAGCTCCTTATTGGAGTTCTTGATCCTTTGATTAGCCAATTTCTTGTATTTTGAGAGAGCTTGAAAAAATACGTCTCTAAATACTATTATCTAGTAACGAATTACTACAAAATGTAATCTCTGGCTACTGAGTTTTCAACTGCTTCAGAAGGGAAGAGGGAGTTGCTGCTAGGAAGTACATTCAGACATTATAGTGTAACTGTCGGCATGAAACTGAAGTTATGCAAACAAACTAAACTAAACAGCTGTACATTTAACTCTGAAACTGGTTAAAACAAATGGGCAAATATTTCAGGTGGAGGGCTACTAGAGTCTTGGTGAGCTGTCAAGGGACATATGGGTAGCCCCACCCCTTGACAGCTGCCCTGCTTCCTGGTCGCCATCTTGGGACCAGAAGTCCCACCCCTAATCCCTGACTTTTGCCACCAAAAGTCCCTCCCCTTACCCCCAGAAATACTCCTTTTGGGAGGAAGGGGTGCCAATTTGAACCAGAAAAAATAACAAATCATACCCTAAACAACCTACTAGGACAGTGGTCCCAATCTGTGGCAGACAACCTGTCAGTGGTACACGTTAAACAGATTTATTAT